CCCCCCCCCCCCCAAAAAAAAAAAACGACACATAAAAGTAGCACTATGAGCGTGAAAATGACAGATTCTATGAAAAAAACACACCATCAGAGCTGCTGATCTACCGCCTAAGTTTTGTCCATCAGCTGTGTAATTTGTTCCCACATCTTTTTCATTTGGATTCATTAACCAAGGCACACTGCCTGTAAAAAAAAATATGATCCTGATGAAAGCTGCTTATCTAAAAATAGCAATTTCTTAGTAAATATCTCATTTAAAAAACTTACTAGGTTCCAAAACCTTCAGGAACGCGCTGGCACGATTACTTTTTTTCCCAAGATCCGTAGCTTCACATGTGTACCAACCAGAGTCGTCCAAGGTCACATTTCTTATTTTAAGTTTCCCATCTAACATGCGAATGCGCCCACTAAGAATATTAATCGATTTCTCGTCTAAAATTAAACCCACAATTGTTTTAAGACCTAAACGCTCTTGAAAAAAAAAGTTTCATTCCAAAAAGCTCACAAGTTGACAGTGGCAAGTGAAGCTTCAAGTCTTCAACTTAAAGAAAAAACCTTTGAACCACAGCCAAGCGGTTGCTCGCTCATGCACTGTACATGGTAACTCGGCTGTTTCATTAATCATTACGGTAAGGTTCCGGGGCCCTTCAGTAATCAGATTTGCTTGCATTTGTTCACTGTTATCCACATAGAGATTTACTGCCCGTCCTCTTTCCAAACCATCGCCATAAATTTCGGCCTCATCCATTGCCGGGCGAGAAATACACTGAATACTATTTTGCTGTTAACAACCAAAAGCGTTTTACATTTACAGATACTCAAATGTATAACCTGCACACTCCCAGAAATAATTGTATTGGCCGTTAAAGTGACTTTGATAGGATTGGAATAAAAATTTGTACTCGGTGGCACACCAAGTTTATCCATTGCGTCTTGAAGAAGCTCTCCATTGATGTAAACAATCGGTATTTCATACTCAACATTTATTGCCAAACATTGTAACTACAAAGGTTGAGTATTTCAATAAAATTACTGAATTTGCTAACAATTAGCCCAAAAAAGTAACATACCTGCCAGGTTTTATCTATTTGCAACTGCCCAATATCAAGTTGTACATTTGTTGGTGAGCGCACATGTAGTTTATAAAAAACACGAAGGAGTTCATTTTCATTTGAATTACTCCAACTTCCGTTATAGTTTCTGTAAAATTTTTTGCGTCTCCCTTCGCAGACATAAAGTCCACTGTCGTCTTCATCTACCCAGTTGATATCCAAATTCGAAAAACGTAAACGAAACTTGCTCTCACGGTCTTGACCAACAGTAATTGAGCCAAAACTTGAGTCTAAGAGGTTAATCTGAAACTGTTAATGCCATATTGTAACTAACAGCAAGTTCAACTTCGAAGATATAAGTCTGACACAGGTTCAGTAATACCTGCCTAAAACTTCTGTGTTAGCAAATAAAGGCCAGTTAGCAAAAGAAATATAACTAACTCTCTTCCATGTAACCTGAGCATTGGAAATTATGCATTCTAACAACGCTGACCGGCCGCGGTTAATGTTTACGACTATCGGTCGCTCCAGCGAAGTTTCTTTAAGCGGAAAAACTATCCGCGGTTCCGGATTTTTCAAATCAGGTTTTGGGATGACCTGAATAAACTCTTAAAAACCGAAACTTAGCTGACAAACTTAATTACTAAATAAGGATAAAAATGTTACTTTGAGTTTAACAGAAGACCGAGATTTTCTAGTGACATTGGTGTAAACATTAGTGGCGCTGCAATAATACGTTCCAGCGTAATCATATTTCCGAACCATCAGTTGCATTCCTGTTGAAGTTACCCAATAATCACGTTCGTCTGAAACAGGAAATAAACTCTTACGGAAAAAATTGAAGCAAAGACACCTCTGCTCATAAAATAATCACTAAATCTTCCCACTACTACCCTTGGACTTCAAAATCCTAACCGGTACTTCATGCCTTTGTGGCGTTCTTATTCAACCTAGGCGGTGACGTGAGTTCCAAGAATGCACAAGAAAAGCAAAGCATATTAAAAAAACGCTCTACTAAAGTAATAAGAAAAGCGAAAAAAAGTTCTAACAAACAAAAAGTCAACACCCTCTAAATATAGGAGAGTATTAAGCAAAAATAGTCCTAGTGAACTTCCGTACTGAATAATAGATTGAGACGAATACGATCAGACGATAAAAAGGAACAGACGCATGTAGAACTAAACTCAGAAGAACTCCCCTGAGAACTAGTAAACAATTTGTATGTAAACACTTGAGTATGTGGCCGACTGATCTCTGACTGTATTAATACTTAGGCTATAGACCTTTGCGTTCAAAATAAGTAACCCATAACACCTCTCCACCAACATAGCGACTCACTGGAACAAACTACAGGAACTGCACACGCGCTTAAAAAATAATGCCGCCTCCCGTCGTTTGAGTCCAAGAAACAACGGAGACAAACTTTACCTCCAAAAACGTTGCCGGATAAGCTAATCAAAGTTCTGGATCCATTGCTCTGAGAGTGATAAGGTGGACTGACCGAGTGCTCAATGCCGTTTTTCAAGCAAAAAGTCTGAAATTCTTGGAACTCGAACGGAGGGCCGTTATCCGCGAAAAACGTCTCTGGTAAGCTATAAACATCGCGAATGTCTTTTCTAGAGCTGGAATAATGACGGTCGCCTCAGTGATACTTATTCTGAATACTTCAGGCCACTTCGAGAATGAATCTATGAGAATTAGAAAATAAAAATCTTCCTTTAATTCTGCAAACTCAGCATGCGAACGTATTAAGGTTTTGCCGTAGCAGGCAAGGTTCCAAACATGTTTCTGCTAGCATTTTTGCAGCGTTATCGCAAACAGAACATGGCCGTGCACCCGTGCACAGATCTCGTTATCGTTGTTAATTTTTAGCCAGTAACAGTACTATGAATTTCGTCCTTCAAATTTCCAGATGTGCAGTACGTAAATTCTTAATTTCCCTACTTCTCAAGAGCATTCGTATAACTGTTTGAGAATTCCAGAAAAGCCATCCATTTGACACCAATAAGTCAGATCGTTTCGAGAGATAGAAAGCGAGTTCCGAATTTCGTAAGGAATTCAGCCACTTTTTTCGAACGTATTGAATGGCTAAGAATAACATTTTGCCTTGAATTGTAGCTCAATCTTCCACTGGGACTCAAAGAGAATCTAGTGCTTCTGCAAAGGCCTGACTGACCTGATTTTGCAATACCAGTCTTTTTTTCGTAAAATTCACACAGTAGTCTTGAAAGTCAGTTTGCATGGCTAAATTGACGAGGAGAACGATACCCAACTTCAAAAGACCAGTTCATCAAAAATAATTGTTTCCTGCTCAATTTGAGAGTAATTTCGTTCAGATGAGGTTAGGAATTTTGAAGCATGTGCAATTGAGTTCTTCTAAGTCATTAGGGAAACGACGAAACATCACAGCCCTCACTCCACAATTTCATGCCCCAGAAACGAAAAAGCGTTGTTGATCTGGCTGTAAGTGTGTCAAAAACAAGGAGGAAGTGAAAACTTGTCCTCTTCTATTGAACGCAAATTGACACTGACCAGACCAAGGGAACGCACCGTTCTTACAAAAAAGTTCTTCCTTTAGAGCATGCAAATCATGAAGTTGTGAAATAAATTCAGCGCAGTAATTTACAAACTCTAAATAAGAACGCAACAAAGCTAAATCTATTAGAGATTTTTTTATGGCTGAAACCTTGCGTAGACCAGAAGGAATTCTGCCACAATCAAAAATAAAACCTACATACTGCATCGACTTAGTAACAAAGACACATTTTTTTCTCTTCAAATGAAAAAACAAAACTTGTGCACGTTTTAACACGACAGGAGGAAACTTTAAATTACCAACACTGGTTCAAATCAGAACAAAAATATTATCTAGTTAAGCAACATCCCCTGGTACACCAGAAATCATACAAAAAATAGTCTGCTCAAAGCTTTTGATGCTGAAATGATATCAAACGGTAAAAGATCGTATTGGAAAAGACCAATATGCGTATTAATTACTAGTAACTTTTTTGCGTCGTTATCAACTGAAATTTGCAAATACGCATATAACAAATGCAGGTTGGAGAAATTATTATCATTAAATATTGTAAAGATTTCGTCAGGAAAATGTAACAGAAACTGATGTATATCAATCTTTGCGTTCAGAACAGTTGAGATATCTGTGCAAATTTCAATTTTATCATTCCCTTTCTTAACACGCTGCCCAATACGAAAGAACTACTGGTGACCTAATGTTTTCATTCATCGGTCGTTTCAGCCATAAAAACTTTTTTCTCGAACAGAAGACAAAGTGCACAAGGAACGGAACGCTTAGGCAGGAAGACTGAAGCAGTATTTGATCTCAATTTTATGCAAGCTTTCATCTGTGTGTATAAACAAAGACGAGACCAGCAAATCGGTAGAAACTGCGAAAGAAGTTTCGATGAAGACGTGTTTCCTTGAATAGCGCTACAAAAAACATTTATAGGTGTAGTATCCAAACCTAACAAAAAGTTAAGATCGCACTCAAGAATTCCACGATTATTTGTTTCCTACATGCGAATAAGTGAAGAAAACATTACTTTGAAAATGAAAATTAGCAGTGAGTTCGCCAGCAAAGGCTACTGAGTCGCCTGAATAACTATTCGCGCAGACAGGAGTCAAAAACAGTGATGGAGAACCAATTTTCTTCCAAGCGTCTTGGCTGGGAATGGTAAATGGAGAATCTGTATCTAATAGAATCCTCAACGGATTAGGGTTTATTTGCAACTGAACAGCAAACAACCCTGTTTGAGGCACTTGAGAAATAGTGCATACTTGTGGCGAAGCATTAATTAAATTGACTGAAGAATTAGAGCATTTAGAAGTAAACTTATCATTAAGATGCTCCTTACTTCGTGTGCTATGATGTTTACGAGAACTAGAAAAATTTTTACTTTTGCAAACGATGGCGATGTGACCCTTCTCGTAACACTTACAATATTCTGTATTTCGGAGTTTGCAGTCCTGACATCTATGCTTTGCAGAGGCCTTAAGCAAATAACCTATTTGCATTTTATTTGTCAAGCTGGGTAGTTCTTGAAAACTATGACCTACTGGAACAAAAATGACTGGTAGGAGAGAATTTTCAAATCCTAGCTGTTCTGTCTCGACTGTAATTTGTGTATGCTTTGAGCAATAAACAACCCTTGATCTAAACTACATTCTTCAAGCTCCAGGAACTTTGCTCGCACATACGGGTCATTCATACCCATTGTACACACGCGAGCTGGCGCTGGCCCGCAAAAATCACCTGACGGATTTATAAATGCACTTTCTTTAACTGAATAATCAAATTTAAAGAAAGACTGACTGCCTTGTTTAAGATGCAAAAGGCGGTATCGTTCCATAAAGAGAAGAGCTTTGAGGCAATACATTTTTTTGAAATGGTCAACTAACGCTTGCAATGTAAGTTCAGTGGCATCATTACGCCGAACGAATGCAGACAACGACCGGTAAACGTTTGACGATAAAGAATTCAAAATAAATACAGGCTGCTTTCCCTTCTCGACCTTCGAGATGATAAAGATATCTTGGAACCTCGATGATCAAGACAGACTATCGTCAGTGACTGAATCAAAAGGTACTGGAGGATGTGCAGTCAAATGCGGCATCGACGTAGTAAATGTATAATAAAACAAAGAGGAAACAAATAATAATACTGACCGCCAACTGTTGCAAAATGTAACATTTAGGTTGATTAAGTACGCAACAGTCGGCGATCAGTGAACACACTCTAAATACAAAAGAGTAAGAAGCAGAATTAGTTCCAATGAGCTTGGAGACTCAATAATAGATAAAGACAAATAGCACCAGACGATAAAAGGGAACAGACACACCTAGAACTGAACTCAATAGAGCTACCCTGAAAACTTGTAAACAATTCGTACCTAAGCGTTTTAGAGAGACCCCGATAGAGCAGTGACCACCTGATCTATGACCATAATAATATTTAGGGAATAGATCTTTGGGTTTAATATAGGTAACCCCTAACGACCTTAAACAGCTCCTTAACTGTTATGAAGGAACTTACCGACTGACGGACTTTTATCTTCCTGTTTATGAAAACCAATAGCAGGAGGACCTGGGACTACATCAGGGAGACCATCGCATGGTATACGGGCAATTTCGCCAAACTCAGCTTCCACGACCTAGATCAGATGCGTTTTAAAATTAAGCTAAAATCAGCCTATAAATGAAATGAAGGCTGGTTAGTTATCTAACTGGTAGGCTTTCTGAACAAAATGCAAAAAAACCCTTAAAACTGTAGGTTTCTTCTGTAAGAGGACATGAAAAATGAAACAAATAAAAAAATTTAACGTTCACCAATGGTAATGAGTCCGAGAACCGAGCTATTCGAGCCTTCCGTAACTTGAGCGGACCTGATATGAGCTTAACTGAAACCTTCTTGTCCCCGGAAAGATGCACTCCCTCAACTTCGGCTTTGCACTGATAATTGCCCTCGACATATGAACGACCGGAACGTATGGACAACCTAAATTCTCACAAAATTGCCCAAATCTTTTCCTCCATCACCGATTTTGCTTAGTCTCCGATAAGAGAAGAAATTAGACAGTTATATTCTCTCCATCAGACAGCTTCTTCGAAAGCCAAAAAGTAACTTTAAAACAATTTTTACGTTGGGCCTTGTTCAAAAATTTCACGATCCTTTAGCCGCGTCAATTCAGTAATTGGTGCACCATCTTTGAACCAAATAACTTTACCAGAAAACCTGGCACTGCGCCACCCCGGTTCAATTTGACACGACAATTTATTTTCATCATTTTTTTGCAAATAAAGATGGTCACTATGTACAATCAGACGCGGTAATTTGAAGATTCCTGGAAGCAAAAACCCATTAGCAACATGCAAAAAGGTTTTTAAAAAATATTTCAGATGTTAACAAAAAATTCAATTTGAGAAAAGAATGAAGACGAAGATTGTTGGAGGGCAGCCTTAGATTATGTGCCACAAACTATGATTGGCACTTTTTTCGTTCAGTGATGCCGTACGCAACGGGCTCCAGTAGGCGTCTCCCATCGGTTGCTGTGGATAAAGTACTTTTTGAGAGTTGAAAAGGACGAGGAGCAGCTCTCAACTTTAAAAAGTGAAAAAAAAAAAAAGGTTATAATGGCAAGCAGCAGGCCCTCAACCTTAAAAGGAAACCCATTCAAAATGAGGTACGCTCTGCACTAGCAAACAATTGTGGTTACCGTAATTAAGCTAGTTGGCAGGAAAAGTGGTCCATCAAACCTCACCCTTGACCATCCCTCAGCAGACAAACTTCAAAAAACCCAACCCTTCTGGCTAAGATGTCTGGAAGTAAATGCCTGTCTTTTACTGGGAAGCTTCCACGCTGCAATTTTCTGCGTACCTGTACTACAAAATATCTACTGTGCGGGGACATCTATTACCTCACTAACTACAGGAGCACTGCGCGTGGCATCCCTGAACCGAAATTCTCCGTTCAAGCTTTCATTCACTCACTGTTACTTGTACGATTGTTCGACGTGATCCCTGCGATGATTACTGTGATCAAATTCAGAAAAGTTAAGAACTTCATTTCTTTATTGGCATATTGCCAGGAAAGATACTACTCAGTTACGATCCTTTAGAAGCCTTCTTGACTATGTTGTTACCATTTCCTACAACGAGCTCTTCTTCCAAATCACAACTTCCAAAAAGAAAAAAGGGAAAAGACGGAAACGCGCAAGAAAAAAGTGTCGACTTTGATCAAATTACCTGTATAACTTTTTAGTTTATTGAGACTGCAAAATGTAAGAACCAGGAAATATCACTTTTCATTATCAAAATGACTTAGGCAAAAGAAAACCTAGATTTACTTAAGGAAGGTTTGAATGCCATAAATAAAACACTATGACATCACTGCAGTAAAGTTAATCGAAAAAAAAAAACTCGCCAAATCAATGCAAAAAGCATAACTTAGGAGGCAACAATGTTAATGACGGAGGTAATCTTCCACACCACTTATTTGGTATGATCCAAATTCAAGTTCTTCCATAACACTAAGATGCTGACGATATTACAAGACACCTGTTGACTAAATGCTTGCTTTTCTGTAAGGTAAACTGGCTACTACTGAGCCACACTCCCAAATCCCAACTCTCTGTTTAGTTTTTAAGTCCTTTTACTTCTGTAACTATAATTTCTAGAATTACATCTACTATTGCTGCTCAGGCTGCAGTCAAGTATATAAAATATTTTATTAATAATTCTACTGCAACAGTCATTGACAGCCACAAATTTTACAACGCTGAAAAAAATTTCACATTTCATGCGACAAACTGGGACTTTTTTCAACAGTACAACGGCTAGAATCTCATAACAGCTCTTTTTAATTTTCAAAGCTGCCTTCGCCTCAACAACTTAGGTATCTTATTAAAATTAACATTTGCGTAAACGAAATATACAAAAAAATTTTAAAAAAAACGTAATAAAACATCCTAAAAATTAGGAAAAATGTAGCAACCCATCATTAAAAAAATGCTTGTTTTTACTGCAGTTTTCGGGCAACCCAATTTTCAGTTACAGTTGTCAGTCAAAATCTCAAACCAAAATTTTGATAGTATAAAAATGACTTTGAATTTTAGAAACATAAAGTGAATTAATAATTTAAAGGTAAAGCAAAAAAAAGTGTTTTTTAATCTGTAAGCAAACGAGCCTACAACTAAATTACTTTTAAAAAATTCGTGTTAAATCTTTTGCATGGCGCGAACTAGTTGAACGGTCTTAGTAGAACAATAGTCGTGGTATGAAAACACTTCGCCACTAAACTTGAAAAAATATCAAGGGGGTTGCTGGTTTACACCGGAAACTGATTAAAGGCTTTCATCGTTGTCAAATCCTTGACCTTAGACCCAAAAGTTACATCCATCAAATTCACGTATGAATAATTCTGCAGCCATTAGGACCGCAAGTAGAGGTTATTATAGTGGTAAATAATACAAAAGACTGGATTACTAAACCGCTCTTTGAAAAATATTAGAAAAACGCTTGGAATGGCAAGAGAAAAAACGACTGAATGACAAAAATTAAGTGTGAACACATAAAAACAAACACGAGCTGTAGCAGACCAGTACCCTTCGCCGGACCAAAGCGTTATATGGTGTTGATGAACTCTTCTTACTCGATGTTCCAAAGCACACCCACTTTGGTGGTCAAAAAAAGTAAAAATTTTGTGGGACAAGGAAGGAAAACTAACTTCAATTTAATATCACACTGTAACATTACCTTAAAAATAAGAAAATTTTGAATCAGAAATAAGAGAATACAGCCGGTTCTCTTAAATAATTTTTCTTTTTCCATTTGCTCGGCTCTTATTTTGAACACCTTTCAGAAAAAAACTACAAGTGGTACAAGAGTACAATCCTTATGAATGCTCTAACATTAGGAGCTCGCAGTTGCGGCTGTGAATCAGAAAGGTTAAATGAGAATTATTGTTTTGGAGGAAGCGACAGTAAGATGCAGGAAAAAATTGTTACGAAGTCAATGGGAAAAGGTGAGAAAGATCTGGACACGCTTATTTTATAGCGCTTTACCATGAGACCTGTCAGCTTTTGCTTTACCAAAGTTGGAGCAAAAATAATAAAAAAAAATGCACCCTCAAGTTACAAGCCAGCTAATATCAATTTTTAGCAGACAGCTACTCAACTGTTCGTTGAGTTCGTATGTTTGCCATAGCTTGACTTTATATCATAAATTCAGAAATACTCACAGCTAAAGCATTTCCAAAGCAATTCTTGACAAACATATAAAATCATCTGGTGGGTGGAATACCAGCCTATAAAATATATAGGTTCATACCTTACAGGTTTACCACCACTTTTTTTATCCTTTTCAAAATAAAAAACTGGTAAGCACTTTTACGAGATGCAGTAAAATACACTGTTGCGGACCAACCACAAAGTATTTCCAAAACTTAAAAAAAAGTTCTTTTTGCTATTGCACCACTTATATTTATTTTTTTACTGTTTTACATATCATTCGAAATGCTAATTGAAAAAGTAAGTAGATTTCCAAAAACATTGAAGGATGATGCTTTATTTGACTAAATTTGTAATGCCGCAGAAAGTTATGTGGAACTTTGTAATCCTAAGTTAGAACGTCATCAACTAAAGTTAAACTGTTCTAACTCTCTCAGAATGACGACGGCAACAAGCTTCTCTGATACGCAGCCACAATAGTCTCTCAAATAAATGCAGTTCTAGAAACGCAAATATACCAAAATTGCCACACCTTTGGAGAGAGAGTTTGAACAAACTTTCAAAAATGCTTGAAGAGCAGTAAAAGGGGAGGTGGCATGAAAGAGTGGGCGGAAAGAATGAAAAAAGTTAAATGGTTTCTGTTAATTTTTTTTGAAAAAAATCGCTCCTTTTAAATTATAAAAATGCAAGCTTACAATTACCGACTCCACGCATGTATTCAAGTTTTGTGACATGACCTCCAAAAAGTTTTCTAATGGTTAGCTGAGCAATAACTAAACAAATAATCTGTTTTGGTCAACAAACTGTTGTAAGCTATCAACGCAGAACGCCAGCAAAATACAAGGCCTGACGAAATACACGAGTCGAATTAATGGCAAAATGATTTTTAACCTAGGCTCTAGCGGAAAAACCGTCTTTGCTTGAACGCATCACCGCCAAAATAAAGTAAAAAACTTATTGTGATAGTTTCTAGCTAACAACTCTTAAAAAGTCTAGCCGGGTAACGCTTGCTGTCTTCGTCATGTTCAAAGAGCAGCCTGAAAAGACACAGTTGATTGGAATAATTATTAATCAATGCCTTAACAAAACCAAAAAAAAGAGCAAAAGAACTTAGGATAATACTTGTTATTTTCTAATGATGCTTCACAATCAACAAAACAAAACAGCATAAAACAAATTGCAAGAACACGTCCGAAAAGAGTACAGTAAAACTTCATTTTGGCACACCCTGCAATGTCCTCCCAATGTAAAAAACTCGCATGCGGCGCGTCCACTGGTAACCATACCCACCCATCAATAAATGCAAACCAGAAATCCCCAAGTGAAGTTCAGGAAGTAGTCTTTATACCATAGTACTATACAGAATTAATCAAATGGATTGTTTGACAGGTCACTCTTCCTGGGCTTTTGGCATAACTTCTTTAAAATCAGCCTCTAGTGAGAAGAATCTTCCATCTTAAACCAGCTTCTTTTTTATATAGGTACGGCGTTTGCTGCCCCCATCATTCCTAGCATTTTTGAATGAGAAAAGGAACAAAGTTACATCTAAATCCGCGTCTTAATTATTATTGTTCGTTGCAAGTACTTATGCCAATCAACGGAGCTTACCCAACTAGTGACCTTGTCATGCTATGCGTTGCGTGTAGGGCCAATATTCCTCAGTCCCAAGTAAGAAAAACCCGCAAAAAATTATGAAATTGTGGCTAGAATTATGAAGAAATTAACAGATTTTACTAATGTATCAAACAAAAAGACAACATTCATCTATATAGTGAAACAAAAATGATGAGAGAACTGCAAACGTCGGATCCGACAGCAAACCATTTTTTTGGCCCACGCAACGTATCCTGGAATATTTTTTTTATTATCAGCCACTGAAAAAAGAAATTGGTGAAGAAAAAAAACCGCTGTTGTGGTAAGCAGTCGCAATAGCGATAAAAAAAACAATAGCGATGTAGGGGAACGGGGTGAAATGGCGTGGAAGGGAAGGAAGTGGAAAGTATATAGCAAGCAAATTCTTCTTTGTTTACAGCTGGTAAATAGGTGGGAGCCATGATAGAGAAATCCTTCTGCCACTAATTTTTCTTCAGCAGAGATGCAAAATCGGTGGAAAATTCACCATTTAGTTACAAGGAGGGGGAGGAAAGGGAAATAAGAAGGTATCAGCAAAAACAAGACTGTAACAGGAAATTCTCCGAAGCAGAAGGAAAACCTCTCTAACCGAATGAAACGGAAAAAAGGTTGTTTCCGATAATGCAGTAACTGAATCAATGACAGTAGCAAATTTTCTGTCTAAGAAAGGACGTGTACTATCAC